TTTTTTTTTTTTTTTTTTTTTTTTAGAAGAAAGGATTTTTCTTGTAAATTACAAAGACACTTCTCTTCAATTATTTTAATGTTACTGCAATTGCAGGTAAAAAAAAATGCTAACCAACTACACGTGTAAAAAATAAAATAAAGACGAGAACTGTTAAATGTATTCATGAAACCATATTATAACATAGCAGCCAAGAGTCCTGGTGTAAATAAAGCTGATCTTTCTTCTGGTTTACTTGCAGATGAACAGTGAAACGTTTTAAGGGTGAAAGCTTATTCATTCTTTCTCTTTCTTCCTTCCTTTCTTTTTTTAAAAATTAAGGTGAATTTTGGATGCCATCTGAGTTCATCTCCCTCCTGCCAGTAGAGGATAAACTGTGAAACAATTCTGTGGAAAAACATTCAAGTCTCCTTTTGTACATGAGTTTCAGAGACGATTGGCATGGTTTTAACACCACCAGATCATCACTAGGAACTAGCTGCAGCCATGAGTTCAGAGGAAAAGGGTATATCTCCTGCTCACAAAACATCTACTCCATCACATAAGAGTGCCTCCTCTTCATCATCCCAGAGAGACAGTAGACAGGTAAGGAAAAGATTCTATACTGTTGATTTCCATCATAATTTGTAATGTCTGATGGTTAGACTGATTTAATACTTCTTCACAGGAGGGAGGCTTCACGATTAGTTGTTTAATTTATTTGATAATAGTGTTGGGTATAGCCTCTGCAGGTAAAGTTTGTCAGTGTTTCAGTAAGGTTTTCTTCCTCTTATGTTGTGATTAGGAAAAGACACAAATGTAGAAGCAGTTTGGATGCTCAATTCAAACCTAAATAAAACCATAGTGTAATATGCAGGAAGAAAATATTATAAACTATAAAATCTTAAATATTCTGAAAACTCTGTACATGAATATTTCACTACACAGTGTGAAATTTTTTTTTTTAGTGTGGTAACATGCTATATGGAAAGGTTCTACTTGAATGTAAACCGTTTATAGAAATAAAAATTATAGAAGAATGAATGTATCAGGTTTTCCAGGGTTTCATGTAAAGTGTCTGGATGTTATATGCTAACTAGCCAATTGCCCATCAAGAATGATGCGGGGGGGTGGGAGGAGCGGGC